GTTAAAGTAACGTAACGTAACGTAAGTAACGTAACTTAACTTTAACTTTACTTACTACGTAACAAACTAACTAACGTACTATTATTACTTTAACGTTTAAGTTAACGTACTACTACTCTCTCTCTCTCTCTCTCTCTCTCTCTCTCTCTCTCTCTCTCTCTCTGACACACACACCTTGCATGCACACACACACACAAATAGAGAGAGCGAGAGAAGCAAGAAGAGGTACACATACAACCTGCATCTGAACCGACACACAAATGAGACACAAGTCCGAAAGGCAATACAAGTCTCTCTACAAACACATTAACTTGTTTGTGTTTTGTTCATGCACATCTCCTCAATTTTTTAGTTTATGAGCTACATGAATAGCACATTCTCTATGACGACCAACTAAAAATTAACTGACAAGACTAAAAGCATCGCATCTCAAGCAATCATTTACGTGCATGCATTTAATACTTTCATATACAAAAACCTACATACAGATGACAAAAATTATACATATAAGCAAACCATAATTTTATGTGATCACCGCATACCAATGAGACTGAAAGGCAAGTTCTATAGGACAGCAATGAGACCAACTTTGCTCTATGGACCGGAATGTTGGGTGGACAAAAAACAATATACCCATAGAATGAGTGTAGCGAAGATGAGGATGTTGAGATTAATGAGTGGCAAGACAAAAAAGGATAGAATTCGAAATGAATACATTCGAAAAATTTAGGTGTGGCACCAATAGGCGATAAGATGAGAGAGAGTAGACTTAGGTGGGCTGGCCATATGTGGCGCAGACCCAATAAAGCCCTATTAGGAGGAACGAATTAGTTCAAATGGAAGAAAAGGACATGGTTGAAAGTAGGGAGAAAAGATATAAGGAGTTATGCCCTCGCTAAGGGTATATAACCCTTAATAGATCAGAATGGCAGACTAGGATTCATATAATTGACCCCAATTAGTTGAGAAAAGGCTTTGACAGTGATGATGATAAGTAAACATATGAACACAAATGTCTATCCATGTAAAAACAAAATAAAAAATTCACATTTAGAGAATGTATAAGCACGCTCCCACCACCTAACTTCCAATATGAATACAAATGCAACCACTGTAGAAACAACTCTAAGGTTTTGATAATGAGAAGATAATTCCAATAATACGAGTAAAGGTTAGCATTTAAAACAATCTCTTTTTCCTATTTGAAAAAGGAACAAAAAGAAAATCAAAATAAAAAGGAAAGCAGATGAATGACATTCAAAATGGTACACCAGATCATTGTGATATTGATGTAGTTTAGAAGCGTACTATCAGAGCGCATAGATTATTTATTTATTCATGAATGATTATGCCAAACACCAAAGTTAGCATTTGATCCTCACTAGATTAATTATTATTCATATGCCAAACAGCAATGTTAGCATTGGATCCTCAACATTGGACATGCAACTCCTCAAAAATATATAAATAAATTAAATGGCAATGATAACACAAAAATCCTTAAATAACGACAAATCCAATGAGAAGCAGACTCCAAAAAAACAGATCAGAACAGGAAAAAAGTCCAAAGTCATTTACCTGTTTGTTATATATGTTGAAATATATATTAAATAAATACCAGAGCCCAAACAGAGCTCCAAGTTGCAAGGTCTGAATCAAACTACTGGAACTCGACTTTGAATCGGCACTCTCAGGAACAGAAGCGCTAGCCCCAACCCTAAAATCAGGCCCTTCAAAGAGGGGTTTTTGCATAGAAGGAGAAACCCCATTACCAAAAGAGATCCTCTGCCTAAGATCAGAACGGCCAATACTAGCTCTAAGGTGAAGCCCTTTTGGTGGGAGTGGATCTAGGCCACGACTGAATCTTGGGGGAAATCCGGAAGTGGGTTTACATGGGCTTTTGGACTTCAAAAATGGGTTACACGAAGAGAGAGAAATTGCAGAGCTCTGCATCTCTTCTGGGCTTTCCTTTCTCTCTCGTTCGCTACGCAGAGAGCGGGTGAAGAGTACAAAGTGCAATTTGTGTTAGTGGGTGTGCTTTATATATAATCATCACAGATATATTTAGAGCGAGAAAGCATGTTTGTTTGGTGGGTTTCATTGGAGTCTCCGCTTTTGAATATGAATTATAGGGTTGTGGATTGTGAATTGTGGAAAGGTCATTACAATTTTTTCCCGGGCCTGAAAATCTTGGTGCAAATCTGAACGTTTCGAGAGAGAGAATCTGGAAAAGGAGAGAGAAAGTGTATTTTTGCAATAGAAATCTAGAGAGAGGATATACGAAAAGGTAAGCCGCCGTTATCTATTTGACAATTATACTAAGCATCGTATGGTATGTTCCCTTGGGAGTATATTTACTTCTGCTCCCTCGACCTATTTGGAAGGATTTTTTTTTTTTTATCCATGGGGGCCACTTAGGATCACTGGATGATCTGGATACCAGGCTGGAATTCAAAGATTATTGAGGTTAATCTTTGGGTTGAAAATATTATATACCATAATTCACGGTCTAAAATAAATGCTAAATGGAATTTTACCCAAGGGAATAAATAGACAGTATACTCTTGCAAGAGTATAATATCTTTTGGAGCTGCTACTTTAGAGTTACTAATGATATGCAAGTGGATTGCACTTGTATTAAATATTAATTATTAATATAAAATTTAAACATCAAAATAAAATTTTCAAAATATATATTCGATTATAGAGAGAGCGTATTGAAAGAGAGAAATTTTGATTGATCCATCTTTATAATTGGGCTTCTATTAGATAATAATTATTTTTTTTATATTTTCAATTATATCATTTTTCATAATATGATTATAATTCTATTTATAACTTGCAATTTAAGGTAGTTATATTTTTAAAAGTAATTTCAATTGTATTATTTAGATAGAATTAGTGAGAAGAAATATGGTGGCCTATGATCTGATTGACTGTACAGCCAATGATAGAACGGAATGGTGGAATAAGACTATTGTAGCTCTCCAAATAGTTGGGATAAGGTCGGATGATGATGTAATGAAGAATTTCAATTATATTATTCCCCTATGTAATTTGTATTTACATTTACTTATTTTTTTTGTTTTTTTGTATTTTCGATTATATCATTCACCAATATAAATTAAGTAATTTTACTCATAGTAATAAATATATTATTTACTTATAAGTAAATACTATTCCAGAAAATCGAAAAAATGTAAAAATGTAAAAAAGATAAACAGAGAAAGAATTATCTTTTTCTTTTTTAAAATTTAGCAATATAAGTATTAGCTTTTTTTATAACAATAGATTATTAACTTATATTATTTGTATGTTTAGTTAATTATTTTTTTGTTTTGTCTCTTTAGTATTTTTAATCATATTAGTTCTTAAATTTGAAATTATTTTTTTATTATATCAGTACATACATTATTTAC